CTGCCAGCACACATACAATAATAAAAAATAAAATGATAATATTTATAGTATTTGTATGGGGTAAATTCATGTTCAACTGCAAGCTTGTGCTTTACAGTCTATAGTATTACCTCAGCAGACCGGATAGTATTCTGAAGCAATCTTAACTTCCTGGGAAGCATTCAGTGCAAGCTGCCATTTTACAGCGCAAAAACACTAAACATACGAGTACAATACTGACAAGCTCTTTCACTGTCTATGACCGGGTACCCAATCACACCTGGATGAAGTGAGGACAATTTATGTAAAGTGCCTTTCCTAAGGAGACAACGTCTGGCCTGAAGCTTGAAACCCTGAACATGCAACCTCACGATTATGAGTCCGATAGCCTAAAACCGTCTGCCCATTGCAAATGGGATCGGTTCGGGTCGAAGGCGATCGCCCCACTCATCGCCTGAAAAGAAACGCGTTTGTTTTTGTGTTGGTGAGTCGGGCGGGATCGGCTTGTTGTGCCACGATGGCCGCTTGGCGCCCTCAATCTGGCGAGCAAACCGCCCTGACGCGACCTCCCAATGGGCACCCCGTATAACCACTAGACGACCAACCCCACATTAATGCATGCCCACTCTCAGAGTTGCAAGAAATTTCATTTTCAGCTGTTGTTGATTCCTTCTTATGTCGTGCCAAGTCATTGTAAATATATACATGACATTCCTTGTTGTTGAATAAAACTATTAGACGAAGACATTCCTTGTTGTTGAATAAAACTATTAGATGAAGACATTCCTTGGATCTTTTGCATTTGGGATAGGTGGGATGGGGAGTGAGATGGGTGGAATTGGGGTGGGAGGGGTGGGGTGTCAGGTATGTAATCACTTTCTCTCTGTCTGGTTGTCTGCCCGGGTGTGAGTGTCTCACTTTCTCGCTTTACGGTCTCTATCTCTCTCTCTTTCTCTTTCTGTCTGTCTCTCTGTCTGCCTCTCTGCCCCTTCATGTCTGTCTGTCTGTCTGTCTGTCCCTCCTTGTATACTCTGTCTGTCTGTTTGTTTGTCTGTCTGTCTGTCCCTCTGTCCCGCCTTGTCTGTCTCTCTGTCCTGCCTTGTCTGTCTGTCTGTCTGTCTGTCTGTCTGTCTGTCTGTCTGTCTGTCTGTCTATCTGTCTGTCTGTCTGT